CCCCCGCCCCCCCCCCGTTGGCATTCTCCCCACTTGGCCTCCTTCGCCTTCGCTGGAGGTGTATGAAGAGAAAAATGGCCCCTGGGACCCTCCTGACATGGGGTCAGATGAGGATGGTGCTCCCTGCCTTGGGATGCTGCCTTTTGCTGAGTCACGGGGGAGTCACCCGAGTTCCTCCGTGGGGGTGGTTCTGGATTTCTCCGGAAATCGCAGCAGCCCCGAAGGGCATACTTACCCACAGAGGCTGAAGGTGGTGATCTGAGCAGGTTGGGACCTGCCCCTCCTGCCAATGCTGTGGTGATAGCAAAAGAAAAGGCAGGAACCCGTTTTCTTCCAGTAAGAATTATTTTTAATGGTTTAAAAATAAGTCTGTACAAAACCAGCACCACCATTTGGTGCTTCCAGTCCACTGGGGATCCCAAGGGTCTCGTCCAGCACTATCTCTTTGGCCAGTTGTGCCTGAAGCCCCTGCGGAGACAGTATGAAAACAAGTTACTTCTTCCATTCTGGGCGGATGTTTGCTCCCAGCCGGTGTATGAAATGCTGCAGAACTGAGGGGGAAGAGCGTGCCTGGCGTCCTGGAGAAGGGAGCAGGGCAGCAAGGCCCCACCCCCACAGTGTGTGGGCCGGGGCAGTGTTGGCTGAGCTGACCAAGACCCAAAGGTGGGTTCCTTCCTCATCACGCTACACCCCAGGGCGGGCCCTCTGAGCTCAGGGCCTGCTCCAGGTGCCAGGATTTAAATCTACAGCAGAGATAACCCGCAGCTGCGTGTTTTCTTCTCCTCTCAGAAATAGGCTCGCCTGGGAAAACCTCAACCCTATCTGCTCTGAGGTGACCCTGGGAAACTGGCAACAGACAGAGAGCTGAGGAGGACTGGAGTGTGGGCCCGGGGACAAAGTGGCTGAGACTGATACGTAGCTCCCCACAATCACCTCCCCTCTGCCCATCTGTTTTCCCAAAGTCAAAGAGGGGCTTGGTGCTGAGAGGCGCTCTGAGTGTCCTTCCGTTGAGGCCTCTGCCACGTACCTGTCTGACTTGCCAGTTGGAAAGGACATGCTCTTGTTTCCCATTGACTGTTTAAGTGTTTTGGCCGCAAGACATTTCTGAAAAGGTAAGCAGCACAGAAGACAGGATGAGCTAATACAGGAACCGGAGGGCTCCTCACAGCCTCACGCTCCACATGCCAAACTCTCAGCCCCGTTTGGCTGCCTGGCACCAACACCCACTCGGGGCAAATGCAGGCTTGTGCTGGCACCAGAAGGAGTGTTTTTGGCCTACAGCTGGAATTCCCATGGTAGCAAACACAAAAAAACACCCTTTAAAACCATATACCAGCCTTTATAGTCTCTTACATTTTTTTAATTGCTGGAGTTACTGGTGTGTACTGTCAGTGCTTCGGAGGAAGGAAGGTGAGGGAAAAGGTACATAAAAGGGTTCCTGGATGAACCCATCTTCCCAGCGACAGAAGAGGTGAAAAAACAAGCACCATGCACCCGCTAGAAACCTCAAGTGTATTTCTTACCTTGCCAGGTGGGGTCTGCTTGTTTGGATCAAACTGGGAAGGAGGTCTGCATTTGCCGCCTCCTGGAAGGGAAGAGCGGCCACGTGAATGAGGTCACACACCAGGCGACTTCCGGGCTGCTCGCACACCTGGGAGTGCGGGCTGTCAGTCTGCTACCCTTTGCGAGGAAGGGCTCGGCTGATGTAAATCACAGGTCATGTTCCCAGTAGCTAAGGGCAGCCGGGTAACCAGGCTCATTTCCCACAGACCTGCTCTCAGCAGTCAGGGTGTTAAAACACTGGCCACTTTTACATCAAGGAAACCCGCTCTGGTCTGTCTGATGGATGGAGCGCCTGTTGATAACCTGGGCTGAGGTGACTGCCCTGCCCTGCCTTCTCTCTCTTCAAAGGGACATGCTGGCTGGGACTGATAGAGTCAGGAATGCCACCTATAGCCCCTCAAAATAGATGGGCTCTCACAGGCCTGGGAACCAACCTGAGCTTCACCTCATGGGCATCAGGTTTTGTCAGTAAAATCTTTCCTCTGTGTGTACGTCTGTGAGGAACAGTTTTTGGGCACAGCTATTGTGAGGCAGGGTGCAGCCACATTAGAATGGATCCTTCTTGCTAAACCCCTTCAGTGGCTGGTGCCAGTTAGCTCTGGCGGCAGTCGAGGGTGGTGGGTTTCTGTCCGGTCACTGCTGTTTCTCTGATCGCTCTACTAAGTCTGGGTTGGTGCGTGGCCTGAGCAGGGCTTAGTGTGTGCGTGTGTTGTGCTCTTTCTTTACAGCCGCCTTCCACCCAACATGGACACATCTAACGGGGCAACAGATTTGCCTCACCAGCAAAAGCCTTGAAGTCCGACTTGCTGTAGTCGTAAGGGGTAAAATCTTTTTCTGGCGGATCTGGGTCTTTCGGCTTGGCAACTTTGAGTCGTTTCTTCTCCTGTTTCTGTTCTGTGGTCCTTGGGTCATTCATTGCTCGCTCTCTCTTTTTGGCAGCGTTTTCAAGCTGTAGGTGGAACACACCCATGGGAAGGAAGACGGAGGTACATGAGGAGGCAACGCCGTGGGCCTGAGCTGTGAGCACACCGCTGGGGACTGAGGTACCTGCGGTGCTGGAAGGATCGATCAATGATAGGGAGGGGGGTGAAGGCTGGGAGTCTGCGCAGAGACCGACACCAGGCCATTTAAGGAAGGTGGGGGTCAAGCCTTCCTGAGTACTCTGGGGTGAGGGAGAGTATTTACTAAGGCAGAGAACACTGCCAGCTTCAATGCCTGCCCATGGCTTCTCAGGTGGCATGGCCTATTACATAAACACAGTGGAGGAAACCACCTGAGAGCTACAGTGTAACCTTTTGGAGGGAAAATGAGGCAGGCACTAATGGGCAAGCCAAAAGGCACCACAAAGACAGGAGCGTTTAGTTCGCAGCACAGGGTAAGCCTGCCCGATATTGGAGGAAAATCCTGACAGTGACCGGGGGCATCTCGTTCCTCCACAGGAAAAGCAGAAAAGCAGAAAAGCCAACACGTACGGCAGCCTGCCGCCGGACAGACACGGCCTGCTCCGCCGCCGCTTTGCACTCTTCGTTGGCCTGGTCCCGGGCAGCTGCAAGAGAGAGAACTGTCTATGGAGCTGCTGACCACAGCAGCCAGGGCTCCATGCTCCCCTGACTGACTGTCCGCAGTGGTTACCAGGGGAGGGTGCCCTCCCTGCTGCTCGGGCTCCTTGGCTGGTTCCGCCTCCCTCCCCAGTCTCTGGGGGATGGCCACCTCGTTCTCAATCTGACAAAGACGCAGACCCCCCAGACCTGCTCCTCTCCCAAGAACCCAAACCCAACACCAAAGGCCTATTTGACACCTCTGAGGACATTTAATAGGAATCTCAACCACAGCATGTCAAGGACCAGAACCAAAACCTCTTCGGCATCAAATAGGCTCCCTCTGTAGTCTCTTCTCGATGGTGACCCCACCTTTCTGGCTGCTCAGGACAAAACCCTCTTGTACCCACAGTTTCTTCCTTTCCCTCACACAGCACATGCGACTGGTCACCAAACGCTGTCGCCTCTACCTCAGGAACGCCCAGTTCTGACAGCTCCCACCACCTCCTCTGCTGCCATGCTGTGCAGCCAGCACCCCGTCACCTGGACGGCAGCATGTCCCCTCCCTGGGCTCCCGCCCCTGCCCTCTACACTCTGTGCCCTGCACAGCGGCCAGAGTGCCTTTCTAAAGCGTCGGTCAGCTCAGTCTCCTGCTCACAGCCCTCCAGGGCTGCCCAGCTCACCGGGGGTGCCCACAAAGCCCTCACCTCGGGCCCTGCTGCCCCTTCCTCACCCCTGCCTCTCTCCCACATCCCCTCAGCTTCACCACCCCAGCACCTCCTACCTCTCTCTGCGTAATGCCTACTGCCGTCTGACAGAACACACATTGAGGGGTTACTGTCCACTGTCCCTCAGCAGAAGGCAAGCTCCCCGGGGTGGCACCGTGTCTCTTGTTCACTGCTGTATCTGGCACTTTGTTGAATGACTGAATAAACACAATGATGCACCGGGGCCACTCTTTAACAAACACATTTGACTGGCTGAGTTTACAAGGAAGTGAATGCTACCTGTTTGCTCAGCTGCCTTCTTCTTGGCAGTTTCTTTAGATTCTTTTTGTACCTGTACCTGGCTTGCCAGCTTCCAACGGTTGCTGATCTATAATGAAAACAAACAAAACAAAAAAACTCCAAAACTCAGTCACCTAGGAATGCTTTATTTTTTTAATGAGGCGATGCAGAGCATGCTGGCCTAGTAACTACACACATTCTAAGTCATAAATTCCAAATCTGATGACACAAAAAATAAAATCTCATGCTGGCTTTATTTATAATACTTATTAAGAAGGACAAGGTACAACTGTTCCAGGCACTGGGCCCGATGCTTTCATATCATCATTCAATCCCTTCCATAATCCTGGGAACAACAGGCTCAGAGAAGCTAAGTAACTTGTCTGAAGGGCCACGCACGGTTAGTAAACGGTGGAGCTGGAATCAAGGCAGGACTTCTGCAAGCCTGATGTGCTTCTCTGTGACAGCACATGTACCTGTGGCATTAGAACACATCTAGGTGGCAGTAGATGTAAGCACGGTAAGGGATGTGTGGTTGTCGAATGTGCCACACCCAGTGGGGGAAAGAGGAGTGAAGGCAAAACCTCCGCCTGACTCCCCATTTCTAAAAACAAGTTAACCACCAGCGACAGGGCTGAGGCCCATCAGGGTTTGGCCTGATTCTCGGGCGGTGCTGGTGAGCAGAGGGAGCCAGGCCACCCATCTGATCAGAGCAGGTACTTCCTGCAGGGAGGAAGAAGGCTTTTAATTAACACGCTGGCTCCCAGGAACATCTCATGGGGATCCAGGGAAGGTGCTTTCTTATTCTTATTCATAATGCTGTTAAAAACAAACCAAACAATACAAAACAGAGTGTTTTAAAATTTAAGCTGTCACCTTTCAGAGCCTTAAATTAATATTCACACATAAAAATGCATCAAGCTGAACATTTAACACTTGTGCCCTTTACTACATGTAAATTAAACCTCAATTTAAAAAACAAAAAGAAAAAAACAAAAACCCCCCAAAGACCTGTTTTTTAAAAGGTTTTCCCAAATGCTCCTGAGAACCGGATTAAGTTCTGGCCCCTCTCTCTGGAAACACTGCTTGTATACAAAGGGCTTTTCATTCATTTTCAGGGGGTTCGAAGATGGGCTTGTTTAAAACAGGAACCTGGTTTAAATAAATAAGGAATTTCCCTTTCTTAGAAAGTCAGTCTTAGAAAGGATGACAAATCCACTTACTTCATAGATTTTTGACGACGGATCGAACTTTGCTGCCTGAGAAATGTGAGCATGGTGTTCTAGTGAAGGCAGAAACTGGAGAGACGGAAACAGTCGTGTTAAGTGCTAAAAGAAATGGAATCTGGACCCAGACTTCAGGCTACCCAGAGGGGATTTCTGGTTGGTTTCATTTCAGGAGGCCTCAACTCAAAGCATCAACCTGGCGACAGGTCACTGGCACTCAAATGAGGTATTGCTATTGGTTTCGTCTCAGGAGACCTTGACTCCCCACCTGGAAACCAGGGACAACCGACACCCTGTACTCTCCCTGAAGACCCCATTTCCTTTCCAGGCAAACACACTGTCAGCTCTAACACACTATTACTCACCATCCTAAACGGATTTTCAAAGGACTCCATTATGTTCTGGGCTTTCTTCTGTGCAACTGTTAATGAACCCTTCCCATTTTCTTCGGCACTAGGTTCCTGCAGAAACACAGAAAATAGTCACTTATAGCCGGATGTGTTTTGTGACATTGAGATGCAAGCAAGAGAATGATGACACTGGCAAATGTCTATAAGCCCCTCCATGTATAAGGCACTAATCTAGCCTATAACAGCACACTGCAGGGTGTTTAATGCAGTCAGTAAACCAGTGAACCTCGCTATGCCCTTACAACCTACGACATGGCATTATTGTCACCATCTTACAGGTGAGAAAACTGAGGCTTGCAGAGGTTAAGAAAGTCTTCCAGGGCCTTAGAGCTAATAGGGAGAAAACAAAGGTTTAAACCCAGGTCTGTCTACCCTCGAACTTCAGATTGTAACCTAACACTTATCTAAAATTTATAATTGTAAACCTTTAAAAAAAATTATGAACCATTACAAGTAATCAATGACATTATGCAACAGACTGTTGCTTCCAAGTGGGTTCCTAAAAAGTGTGTCACCCTTTTGCTTACCGTGTAGCTAGTCCCCTCCACAGAGCCTCCTTAGCCTGAGTGGGGCACCTCCATGTGCCCACAGCGGAAAGTCCTTGCTCACATTCTTGGCTGCCTCATCACCTTGCCAGCTCACTAACTCTGTGGTCAGCTAAAACTTCCAGACTTCTTTCCTCATGAATTACTGAAGCAAGACCTGATCTAAACTTACATAATTAAGGGACACAGAAAGTTGACTCCCAGGCAGTAGGCTCTGCAGGCAGGCTTTGGCCCAGCATCCCAGTGTGACGGCATGGCTGTGAGCGGTAATCCTGAAACCTACCGCACCCTCAGCCTTTGTCATTGGAACATCTGCTGAGCCTGGAACCTGTCTCTACCTAAGTAGACAGAACCATGCTTCTCTTTCTTGGCTCTTTCTTTCTAGAAGTGGTGATATTCCCTTCCTGCCACACCTGCTGTCTGCAGCAGTTTTACCCTCTCACCCCTGCTCATTTCTGTGACTGTCCACCCTGAACACACACACCTTGGTCTTCCTTTTGCAAAGAACCTGTAGTCAAGTCACTGGCAGTAACGAGGAGCCTGCTGGGTGGGACAGACTGGGATAAGCTGTCACAGCCCAATCCATGTGCCAGGGGCAGAGCCTGGCCATACTGTCTGCAGGCTGAACGGAGTCACTACCCACCATTACTCAGCCTCTTTCTGGAACAGGAAATGAATTTCATTTCACTGACTGGTGCCTGCCTATCCTGCTCTTCCCCATGTCTAATTAGCCAGTGTAGAGAAAAGCTTGTCAAAGTTTTCTCTTTTGCATCCACCGCACACATGGATGGGCTGACACTAGTCAGGGAGGTTATGCAGGACAAGCCCTACCATTCATCAGAGAGCTCACTCCGTCCCTCCGGAAATTGAGCGGCTGTACAGAAATAGTCTCGCTGTGTATCACTGGCCCACGCCCTCCTCCCTGCCAGGCATTAGTATCAAGATGCCAATTCTTCCCTGAGGATTTCTTCACAGGGATCTCATAGAGAATCCTCTGTCCACTTCTCACGGACCCCTATGTTGAGAGGAACAAAACTACCTCGCGATCTGCCTCCATGCCTATCCCACTGCTGCCAGGTTTTACTTTTGGCATTAGTCTCAGAGGTGGGAGCAGCCCTCCAGGCATAAAGCCCCCATAAATCTCTGTGGTGTATATCACCTCGCTGTGTGTCTGTATTACTCACGTTGAACAATGTGATGACAGCGGTAGCGATGAGGCATTTGGAATCCAGCAATGCCCCGTCCTCACCTCTCCCGTCAGGGAAGAGGCTTTCCTGTTTCTGCACTGGCACGGGCCCTAGAGGGACGGAAGTCAGCACGGTCAAAGCCTACTGGGTTGTGTACCAGACAGTTTCCCAGCCTTGCCAGGGCTCCAGAGGCCTCGCCATTACCATTAGTTGGGGTGATAGGATAGCCATCTAAAGGGGCGTGGGAGCAGTCATGGGGTCCAAAGAGAACATTCTCCAATCTCTGCATCAAAAAGAAACCAAAAGGTTGCAATGAAGCACCTACAAGCACGCAGGAGCTCCGCCGCAGTGCGAGGCACTGGCCTGGACTGCTATGTTCCCAAAGGAAGAGACAGCAGACATTACTGTACCTCAGGGTTGGGCAGTGGTCCACTCTTCTTCACTCCAGCCCCAACTTCAGACTACAGAACAAGAACAAAGAGAAGTGAGAAAGTTGCCTGAACTTGATGACACACACATTTGTTCCTCAGCACAGACTGTGGCCCTTCACTAGATTGTTTTTTTCAAGAGCAGAGGTTTTCTTTCAGCCCTCCATCCGTCCCAGCGCCTGGCACTGTATTTACCGAGTGCTCATTAATTATCTGTAGAATGAAAGAATACAAGCCTTTATCATGACTAGGCACAGTACAGGATTCCAAAGAGCCTGAAAAAGATCCTCCTCTAGTAACCAGGGTTTCTCTCTTTTCTTAGACAAACTATGGAGCTAAGATATTTTAACATGAAGACTGCAAATGTGTTTATCCTCAAAGCGTCTTCTTTTTCACTTCAAGGGGGCTGATTTTAAGTCTTCCTGAATCAAATATCTTCCAAAAAATTACAAACATGACTTAGCACATATTGATAATGCTACTGAGGCAATACATTAAAAATTGTCCTAATACAACACAAATCAAACATGCAAATCTACCTGAACACGTATCACTGACCTAGGAGCACACACAGATGTTCGCTGGTGCACTGGTACCTGAGCAACACACACACACACACACACAGATGCTTGCTGGTGTACTGGGACCTGAGGAGCACACACACACAGATGCATGCTGGTGCACCGGTGCCTGACCAGCACACACACACTTAGACACGTGGAGCTGTACTTTTGGTTGGATTTCCTGCTTTCATCTACATTTGTCTAAACTTTAGGATCTCCTTCACAAAAGTAGCTCTTTCTAAATCCTTCATTTCTACCCAAGGTTCGCATATCTTCCTAGCCACCTAGGCTTTATACTTGGCGTGAGCTGTCTTTGACTCCACTTTCATTATCTCCAAATCCACCTGCCATTCAGATAATGCCTCTGCAGTACTCAGTGCAGCGCTCAAAGAGAAATGCAGCCATTTTCAGCAGCAAGCTTTTCTTCTGACGGTGCTTCTTGTACCTGTCCTTTCTTTTCCGTTTCTGTGGCCGCCACACTCATCAGGGCACGACCACTCACATCTGAGCTCCCTGACCTGAGATCCCCACTCCATTTTATTCTATCAGGTTAACTCCCTCTGAACAGGTGACCAGCCTAGTCACTAGACATTACTTGCTGTTAGATTATGAAAAATAAGGTCATAAGGATAAGCTTTAAGGATAAGCTTTACCTGTGACTATCATAAAGAAGACACACCCACCAGGCTTCCTAAGCCCCGTTATTTCCTTGAGTTTTTTAGAATGGAGAGCAGATCTTGCATGTAGGAGACTCCAAGGAGTAAGACGCTAACAGGTGGAACAGGCCAGCTCAGCTGGGAACCTTTAGCAGAAGGGCTTCCTACCTTGAGCAGGGGCATGTCTCGAGCCTGCTGGATTAGAAGATGCATTTCGTTGATCTGCTGCCGTACAAGAGGCGGTACAGGGTTGCAGCAAGCTATGATGCCCTGAGGCTCCCTGAAGACAAAAACATATGTAGCTCATGACTTAGAAACACAGCCCTCAAAGGCTTCCAGACAACAACACTGACCAAGTAGGGCCAGAGCTCCACGGCAAAGCGGGAAACTAAGGTGACACATTCACGCCTAGGCAGCCGGGCAGCCGCTCCCACACGCTCTACTGCACTGAGCTCTGAGCAGGCCCTCACAGCCTGCCTCCCGCTAACAGGGAGAGCTGGAGAAGTGCCACAGCTCTGCTGATCTGCAATTCTGCAGCGGGTAAACAGAAGATTATGAATTTAGATTCTGTGCTCATACTTCAATTAACATCATAAAACATTTAAAACTACGAGATGCCTTAGTTTGGAAGAAAGTGCAGATGAGGGAATCTCTTGAAAATGGATGCCGATGCCATAGGCTCAGAGGCTTACACTGGACTCAACATAAGGTATAACCATTGAAAAGCACTAGTTCAGAAGTTTCAGTTCCTGAATGGCAGCCCGGGGGCAGAAACCAAATTCCTTGAACCTGGCCACTTCCTCAGAGTGCTAATCTCCTCTGAGTCAGCCTGGGGGGAATAATAGTCACAGAAGCTGCTTTTGAAGGAAAGAATTTCTCTACTGAGAAAGCCAGAACACGCTAATCAGTTCTTAGACTCACTTAGGCAGCTCTTCGGCTATCTTCAGCATCATGTGGTTTGGCAGGACATATCTGGAACAAAACACACGATGGGAAAATTACACTAAATTCAGCCAGCAAGTTCCGTTAAATGCTATAACCCAGGAGAAAGCGTAACCAGCGTTCCTGGCAAAGGGGAAAGCCCACCGTTTCCTTGTTACCAGCCTGCTCGGTCTGAGAAGCACTGAGACCCATCCCTTACCCATAGCTTTCATCTTCCCTCCGGGCCGTTTTGTCCCTCCAGGCAAACAGCAGCTGGAAGGCCGTCAGCTGCTGTGTGTTGAGATGCTTCTTTTGCTTCCTGTATAGTTCAAGGTAGGACTCATCCGTGAAAATAGGTTTGATGAATTTCTGCAAAGTGTTACGGAATATTCTAGATCAAAGTGCATAAAAATTGTGCCCTGGGCTCTTCAAACATTTGGCTCTCTTAATAAACGTAAAGAGCAAAGGGAAGAACTAGGAGCTCATCAGAAAGGGAGGGAGTGTCCAGGTTTGCAGGGCTGGGGAGGTTTTACCTTGAGGCAGATGTCCCTGCTCCGCTGCCACACCACCTGCAACTGAACGGGCTGCCCGTTGCCTCGCTCCCACAGTTCCAGCCTCATTTTATCATAGATGTAAAGCAAGTAATGGGTGTCATCTCGGGCGTAGTTGAGCATTTCCTCGGGCAGAGGTCTAGAATGGCAACAGAGGAAACTTTCACTAATTTCCTTAGGAGCAGCAATTTGTCTACTCTGTGCATGCTAAGGCTCACTTGGCTCAGGTTAATGAACATCCACACTTTCTTCTGCACCCATATTTCCTTGTCAAGAGCAAACTGACCGTATTCTCCAATCAGCCAGCTGGTACTGCTTGTTCGATTCCACGTTGCAGTAGTGTTTCAGCAGATGGTCGAGCGAGTGCCTGCCCAGGTTGAGAAGGCGTGCTGCCTGATGTGTATCGAACATGTTCACTACGTACAGCCCAAAGTCTTTCTGCAGCCATTCTATGTCTGAATCAGCACCATGGAAGACCTGAAGACAAAACCGGAGTCAGGCAGTACACTGTGTGAAAGGCCACTGTGCTCTGAAGTGAACTCTGCAGGTTATTAGAACACTGCAGTTAGAAGCCAGAGGAAGATTAAGATGGGCTGAGTTCTAAATGCTTCTTTTAATTTGGGCCCCAGCCTTCCACACTCCTAATTGCACGCTCCTACAGTCTGCTAACAGCCAATGATTCTAAGAAAGCAGCTCTACTTGCTTCAAGGGTAGTCATTAAGTTCACACAATCTTGATGGCACAGGCTCATTGCAGTAGTCATTAAAATGATTTAACATTTTTCTGGGTGGTAATGAGCTAAGTCTTAGCTGTTCTAACAGAGGTTTAGAAACAAAAGCAGTTTAGCGTGTGGTACCCTAGTGTAGGAAATTACAGATTTCTCTTGGTTTTATTGGGTCTGTGTTGAAATAATGAAATAGTAAACTGAAAAGCATGTAAATCTTGTGCTCACAGGCAAGAGCTGAAAGAGGCCGGCTGACCTTGACAATAGCTGGGTCTGTGAGGCTCTCGTTGAGAATGTACATGTCACTCCGCAGCTCCAGGGTGTCAACAATGAAGTCTTCTGTCCGGGTGGAAATCTGCATGAGGCAGGTCAGCCCTAGGAAGCTCCTGTAAGAGTGGTGCTGAAACACACGGGAAGAAGGGAGAACAGGAAAAATGGAATTTATGAGGTGTTCCTCTAGTGATTTTGAAAAGTTAGTTATGAAACAAAGTTGTAAGATTAATTACTTTTTACCAAAAAGTAGATTTACGTTAGTTTTAATTTTATATTTCTCGAGTAGGTGAACTCACAGAAAATGTAAAAATTTCACTCCAAGTCATTCACAAGTTACCTCCAAGTCTACAGCAAACTCTTGACAACGCAGGAGCTTTTCGCTGAGTTCCACCAGGTCATCCAGGGAAGATACAAAATGGCAGGGCGTCTCTCCCACAGGCCTGTACCACTGGGCCACAAAGTCCGGGGGAAGGGAGGAATATGAGGCATCACCCTTCACTAAGGCACACCAGGGATTAAGAGCACTACTTTAAAGACATTTAGGGAAAGCCAAAATTAAACCAACTAAGGCAGGCATTCGAATCTTCCTGGGCTACTTAGATACCACCCATAAAGTAAGTTGGGTGCTAACCTGGGGTTGTGGCTTCTGAAGGACTGAATCTGGTGGAGTGAAGTGATCTAGTTCGTATTGATAAGGATGTGCAAACCTGAATAAATAAAACAAAAACAATCTTTTTGATTAATTCCAAGGTTCGAGGAAAAATTGCTTTAATCCAATGTATAAAAACAAATGAGTAAAGACTTCTGTGAAAATGTTTTCTCTCTATAAAAAGCAATATTATTTCAATGATAATTCAAGTGCATAAAAAAAATCAGGTGTTGCTTGCCCTTAAAGTAGGATAACTAAAAATCTGCCATAAAGATCTGAGCAGAACTGCATGGTGGGTGCTGTGGCTGTGGAAATGGGAGCTCTCCAATTCCCTGTGGTTTTGAATAACAACGTTGTGAGGGAAGAGAGGGTGGGGCAAGCATGATTGTGTATCAAATGATGTCTTTTTTCTTTCCCTCCATCATCTACTTGTATAAAAACCCCAAGTCTCTGGGTTCCTTGAGGGCAGGGCCTTAGCACTTACCCAGTGGCCTCAGAACAGAGAGCTGGGGCTGAAGGAATGTGCAGACAGACTGACTTTATGTGTGAAAGAGACTAACGAAGCTTTCAGCACCTCGTGTCTTTATTCTGAGGACAAAGTCCTTTTGTCTGTTTTAAGCAAAGGTTTTCAAAAATGCTTTATAATGCCAGTAAAAAATGCCTTTCTCTTATTGAATTTATTAGTGAACCTTGGCTTACTGTTTGAGCCCCCCACCCAACAGAGTGGTACGGAGGAAGAACAACTTTAAGAAAACTTGGGTCAAAGTTCTGGTTCTGTGCGAAGTGAGCACCTCTAATTCTGTTTTTACATCTGTACAATGGCGAGGGGAGCAACTGCTACCTCCCAGGCTGCACTGAGGGTTACAGAGGATGGTGCTGTGCAGGCCCTCTGGAGACAAGGTGAAAAATCACCTCGATTCTGTGTGTCCATTTACACATTTTACAAAAGTAAAACAGAGTGCAAGTGTGGCATAAAGATAAATGTGACATAAGAAAATGTGGTGTAAAGTTCAGACAGGCAAACACTTACATGTCCTGCTCCACCTGCTGGGTTCTCTGCTGATGGATGAAATCTGCCAGAGCAGCGGGGACGTCCAAATCCTCAGGACGATCCTGTGGGCACTCGCGCCTTTCTTTGGAGAGTGCTGGAGACCCAAGCAGTGACAAAACCCATCACAAAAGAGGCAGCCACATTCACATCTTGTCTAGTTGTGGTGGGGTTAACTGGCTCCCTTTGAAGAAGGAAAGGTAGGAGGGAGACCTTTTGCCCTTTCTTTTTGTTAGGTGGAGTTTGCACTACTTACCCTGAGGGAGGGGTTTCTGGGCATTGGGCTTGATGAAGATTTTAGGACGAAATGGAGTGTTGGAGTTGTCGATCTTCTCTCGGAATTTAAGCTGAGGTCGGATGATGTTTTTTGCGTGAAGCAGCCGGAAAGTTTCAGATTTTGTTTTTTTGCTATACTCTCCTGCCTGTGATCAATAATACAATACTTCACAACATAGCAACTTGGTAAGTTAGAAGAGTAAATTCCAATGTATGCCTTCCAACAAGACAAGAGCATTCCAAGAACCATTAGCTTAAAAATGTGTGTGTGAGACTGGGGGTGCAAAGTAGAGAAGAGGAGGTGGTGAAAGCATGTCTGTTTATGAGACTGAGTTAGGCAGTGGCCAGTTCTACGTCCAACAGATGAGAACAGAAATGCAAACGAGAACGGGCAAGCGCCGGCAACAGCAGCTCTGGTGAACCTGAAAGCAGCGCTCACCTTGCGGTTCCAGCTGGACACTACTGTTGTGGGGACCTGCAGTCCTGTGGGGAGGACGGGCTGGTTTTTATTCACACCCGAGGCTTCATCCAGTAAAATGCCCTACGAGGGGAGGACATAGCTCAGTATCATCAGGGTTAACAGAGTTAATTACCTAAAAGTTTTAAGAACTATATTCAGAGAATTGTATGTGACAATACATACATGTAAGAGCAGACAATGAAAGCGTTATCTGCTCAATGACAGGACAGAAACCAGCCACTCCCAACCCTTGTTCAACTCTCTTTACAGTTCTGAATTGGGCCAAAATTTCAAATATGATTGAACAGTATGACGTGGTCCACCAAAATGATTAAAAAGAACTTAGTCTGCACAAGTTAAACAAAGAAGGATGGTATTTACAGTGAGACTGAGGGTGTCCTCATCTGCTTTGTCCTGAAGCAGCAGACGTGGAGTATCAGTGAGGGCACCACTGACAGAAGTGCACCCAGATGACAAATGGTAGCAATGGCAGGATGTGAAATCATAAAATATGAGAAACCACTGAAATATCTGTGGGCATTCAGGCTACGGAAGCCATGACTTCATGGGATAGGAGAGCAGGATTTAAATATCTGTAGGACTTTCACAGGGTTGAGTGCTAGATTTGTTTTAGATGATCTCTGTGTATTTCTGTAAATAATGTTCTGTTGTAGAATTCAGCATAGACAGTAAGCTAGATTGAATGATCCGCATATCTTTTCAATCATGCGAGTCAGGGTGTTTAGCAGACTGTGAGTGACAGTAAAAATAGACTAGATTTTGGTTGGGCTTTGGATCCAGAGGCCTCTTCTCTTGCAATACAAACAAGATTTGCAAATTTGGAAGTTAGATTTATAATAAGGCGCTTTAAAAACAGCCTTCCAAAAAAACAAACAACAACAACAACAAAATAGGCTTCTACGGGGCAGTGATATTTTGAAGAGATATACTTGAAGACAATTATGTTACTTTTTTGGGAAAAAAGCCAACTATTAGAAGAAAGGAACATTATAGGCAAGAAATGCTAAACTTCCTTTTCAGTTCCTAAGTTGCTTGGGTTTCTTTTCATAGTCTGATAATACAAAAGCTCTTCATTTGTTAGTTACCTTAAGAGTAAGGTGCAATACTCACCACTCTTTCCAGAATAACATCATTGGTATCAACTAGTAAATCAAACTTGTCCTCCAACTCAGTCACTTTGCTTCGATCCTTAATGTTGCTTCGACACCCATGGTACTGCATTACCTTGCTCATGCTAAGGACAAGAAAACCAAGATTAGTTTGTATACATTTATTACTTTGTTTACAATCTGGGAGAAAGCTCGAAAGGGTTGGCCCAGACTACTTCCAATATTTTATGATTGAACTAATAAAACTTGCACTTATTAAAAACATTGTGTGGCCTTGGGAATTCACTAAATTTCGCTAAGACTCATCAGCTAATTGAAGTAGAAAAAATTACCTTAAAGCTGCCTTTAAATTCTAAAAAATTCAAAATACTATGTAAATAATGTCCTCCATAGTCATTGTTTTAACATGAAATCTGAAACATTCTCTAAATCTGTCATGCAACAGCTAGACAAAATCAGTGTTTATCATCTGCCCTAAAAACTTATTAGAAAGCTAAAACTTGTGACTGCGAGTTGTGAGAGAATCTTGAATCCAGGGTTTCAAATCCTGTATTAATTCAAAAAGATTCATTGTCTATAGGTACTAAAGTGCATATATTTTAAAAGTTTAACTAAAAAATGTACCAAGTAGTGTTTCCTTAATCATAATCCATTGTTTCATTTTTACATTTCATAGCTCTTTACAGCACAGACAATTACGATAAGAAAAAATGAATTTCAGGAAATTATATTAATTTCTTTCAACATGAAAAAAACACAGTAGTTAGTACTTACCACTGAAGCAACCTGTCTCCCTGTGTTTCACAAAATGCCTGGAAGCCAGGAAAACTTCGGTAAAAATCATACTCATCGCCAAACTGTGGTAGGCCCCCCGATGCCTTGGTGACGGCCACTACTGACCCAAGAGCAAACTGTCAAAAACCAGAAGAACAAGCATGCTTTCAACATCTACTACACATAACACATCGCGCCAGATGATGAAGCTATGCGACCCCACAAATACTCATTCAGTGCCGATTTTACTCCAGGCCCTGAGGATATGATGCTGAATAGGAAAACAAGTTCTGGAGCTTACAATCTTGGGAGAGTGAAGGGAGAAAGAACAAATGCATATATATATAATATGACTAGTATTCAAAATGGCCTGGGTTTGAATCTTGGCTCTGCTACCTATTAACTGTGATCTTTTTTTTTTTTTTTTTAAATATATCTTTATTGATTTCAGAGAGAGGAAAGGAGAGGGAGAGATAGAAACAACAATGATGAGAGTCATTGATCGGCTGCCTCCTGCACGCTCCCGACTGGGGATCCAGCTGGCAACCCGGGCATGGGCCCTGACTGGGAATCGAATCCCGATCTCCTGGATCCTAGGTCAACGCTCAACCGCTGAGCCACGCCTGGCCCGGCAACTGTGATCTTGAGCAAGTTACCACAGAGTTGTTGAGAGGATTCAATAAGTTAATAAAATCACTTAGGATCCTGCCTGGCACATTAAGTGCTATTATTACTATTACTACTCCACTTCAGATCCATGATTTTTCTACAGGAATTTATTTCCGTGTTTTCATTTGGGCAAGCATCGAAACACAATTGTAAGCATGTAAACACAATGTAAGCATCTAAACACAATGTAAGCATGGTCTAGGATCCTTCGGGTGACCAGCCCACAGCTGTACTTAGGTTTACCGCTCGGTTAGTGCCAAGCAGTCCTCTGTTTTGATTGTGCGGTAATGAGAAAAATCACCAGCAGTGGCTGTTGCAGATAGAAGGTGGTCGGTCGGTCGTGGGAAGGCAACGTGGGAAACAGACAGGGGAGAGAGAGAGAAGGGGAGCGGAGCCCGGCTCCTGGTGGGGCAGCCGGCGGCCCGGCGCGGGACGGCCCCGGTCAGGACCATGGCTAGGGGTCCGGGAACGAGTCGCAGCCAAACAAACGCCTTAATAATAATAGCATCCACTACTACTGAGTCAGATATAACGCTGAGTGGCGATTTGGGGGCATTTGTTGCGCTAGCTTACAAATGATTTTAGTTTCATGGGTTTTGCAAGAGCCACGCCTGAGGCGTTTAAACGCCTGTTTTTAGGTTTGTTCCTACTTTGAAGTGGCATTTAAAGGAGCCCCCTCTGTGTTCCTTCGAGGGGGCACTGGAGAAACGTTCCGGGGTACCCCAGAGGGGGAAGATTGGGTGGCAGCGTTAACGGGTGACATGAAGCCCAGGTTTTGGGGAGCATGCGGCCCTGGAGCTCGGGAGAGGGGAGAGGTGCCGTCCCCGCCGCCGAAGAGGACGCGGCAGGTACGGGAACCAGCCCCTCCGGAGGGTTGGGGTGTCTCCGGCCGGGGGGGGGCTGGGACATCAGGGCGACCAGGAAGCCCTTTCCCCCGTGGAGAGGGCTCTCCACACTCGGGGCTGCTCGGCTTCCCCTGGGAGAACGAGGGCCCCGGGGAGCGGGGCGGCCCTCAGGGTCCGCGGGAGAC